GGGACTCGATCCAGGGACTCCAGGATCATGACCTGAGCCGAAGGCAGTCGCCTAACCAACTGAGCCACTCAGGCGCCCCAGAGTTTATTTTAATCACTTCCCTACTGATGGGCATTAAGTGTCTAGTCTTTGACTATTATAAATGTTATGATGCATATATGTCATTATATTTTTGCCAGGGTTTCTTTGGAAGATACAAATTCTTCCTTGAAGTGATATTGCCAAGTTGCCTTCCTCGGGGATGTACTAGTTAGAATTACCACTGGCAGTATATAAGAATACCTATTTCCCCACAGCCTTGTCAACAAAATATTTCTGCAGACTTTAGGGTTTTTGCCACCTGATCAATGAGGACTGTATTTCAGTTTAGTTATTATTTATATTCCTCTTGTAAATTGAGTAACTGTTTATATGTTTAAGGACTATTTGTATTTCTTTTTCTATGGACTGTCCTTTGCCTACATTTTACTTGTTGGTCCTTTTTTTTTTAAGGTTTATTAGCTCTTTTTATATATAAATATATACAAATATATATATACACACACATTGTCTCTTAGGTAATTGCCAGCTACTTTCTCCAATTTTGTCAAGTTTTTGTGCATGGTTTGTTTTTTTTTCCCCCCCACACAGAAGTTTTTAATTTTATGTCATCAAATTTATTAGTGCGTCCCTACTGCTTCTGGATTTGGAGGTATTAGGAAAGATGTCCCCTTCCCTAGGTTCACCAGTGTTTTCTTCTGACACTTCTTTGATTTTCTTTTTAACATTTTCTGTAAAATTCTCTGTAAAGGACCGTATCTTAAATATTTTAGGTTTTGTGGACCACACACCTCTCTGTCACATATTCTTTTTTATCGTGTTCTTTTTCTAACACTTTAAAATGTAAAAACCATTCTTAGCTTGTGGCCAAACACAAGTGGATTTGACCCCCGATTTAGATATTTAATCCATTTGAAATTTATCCTAGGATATGGTGTGAGGAATGGATGCATTATAATACTTTTTTTTTAATTTTATTTTATTATGTTATGTTAATCACCATACATTACATCTTAGTTTTTGATGTAGTGTTCCATGATTCATTGCATATAGCACCCAGTGCTCCATTCAATTCCTGCCCTCTTTAATACCCATCACCAGGTTAGCCCCTCCCCCCACCCCCCTCCCCTCTAGAACCCTCAGTTTGTTTCTCAGAGTCCATAGTCTCTCATGGTTCGTCTCTCCC